TTGAACATGAAATATTATAGCTGTTGTTAGGGTTTGTGTATAATCATGTAATTGATGTATAAAAGTTGTGTGAAATAACGAGGTCAGGATTTCTTGTTTTGAAGCTGGATCTTTGATGCATACCTATAGTTCTTTGGAAAAGCCAAGTTTTTATTTGTTCATGCATACACAAAATTATGGACTTAAAGCTTGTTTATAACTATATCTTAGCAACTGCAAAATATGAATATTGTTGGTGCTTCTGTTAATTTTGTCCGAAACATTCCTGAAACAGCATTCATGCAGCCAATGTCGAGCACAAAGTATATCTGGTTTTTGTGAATCATGATCTCAAGCACAGGCTGCTATGGGGGACCTTCTCTTTCTCTCATTTTTTTTTTGTACTTGAAATTCATATGAGAGATCTTAAATGTCGTATTCAATTTGCATACTGTGGAAGAAAGGATTGCCATTTGTCATTTCCTGTAACTTTTTTGGAACTTGTTTCTGTGCAGTATATTTCCCCTGACATAACCGGTTCTTGTAAATATTTTCAGGCAGAATTTGACTTTAATGGGGAGGATTGGGAGTGGGGTAGCTATAACACTCAATGTGTCGAGGCGGTGGGTGCATACAATAACGATGATGGTTTGCGTCTTGAGAAATTTTTTATCCAAAAGAATGATGCAACAATCCATGCTGATGGAACTTTGTTGGGGCCAAAAACCAATCTTCATTTTGCTGTTCTAAATTTTCCTGTTAGTCTGGTTCCTACCCTAGTGCAGATTATCGAATCATCTGCCACTGAAGCTATTCATTCTTTGCGACAGTTGCTGACCCCAATTAAAGGTATATTATACACAGAAGGAGACCTCAGAGGAAGTCTTGCAAAACCAGAATGTGATGTACAAGTAAGGCTCTTGGATGGTACCATTGGTGGCATTGATCTTGGGCGAGCTGAAGTTGTTGCTTCCCTGACCTCAAGCAGCCGTTTTCTGTTCAATGCCAAATTTGAACCAACCGATCAAATGGCCATGTACATATACAGGGAAGTGTTCCTGTTACATTTGTCCAAAATAGTGTGTCTGATGAAGTAGGAATAGAAACAGAAAAAAAGGGGAAATCTTTTGTACCTGGCTGGGTGAAAGAAAGGAGTATGGAGTTAACTGATAAAACCAGTGAGAGGAAGACCTTCCGAGAGAGAACAGAAGAAAGTTGGGATTCTCAGTTAGCTGAAAGTCTTAAAGGTTTAAACTGGAACATCTTAGATGTAGGAGAAGTTAGAATTGATGCTGATATAAAGGATGGGGCATGATGTTGTTAACAGCGTTATCTCCTTATGCAGACTGGCTTAATGGCAATGCTGATGTCATGCTTCAGGTGGGTTAATTCAAGAAGGTTCTTGTAAGCTTAACACTTACGGTAAAGAATTTGCATAACACTCAACCAAGAGTTATTTAGTAGCAATTCTCAATTATTTTCATGTCTTGTAAACCAGGTTAGAGGCACTGTTGAACAACCTGTGCTTGATGGATCGGCATCATTCCATAGGGCATCTATATCTTCGCCGGTACTCAGACAACCACTTACAAACATTGGTGGCACTGTACATGTGAAGTCAAATAAGTTTGCATTGCTTTATTGGATAGCAGGGTAAGCAGAAGACGGAAGTTGTTTCTAAAAGGGAATTTGCCCCTTAGAACAAGTGAAGCTTCCCTGGGTGATAAAATTGACTTGAAATGTGAAGTTCTTGAAGTACGGGCAAAAAACATTCTGAGGTGAACATGATTTATGATTCTTAATAGTGACTTCGTTTCATAATAAGTGGTTCCTGTGTTTATTGTGAGCATTGATGGAAGGGAGTAGTTGCGGTACCCCTGCTCCCTAGCTGCCATCTGGCATTTTCCCTACTCTCCCCACTAGATCCATATACTGAACATACCCCCCCCCTCTCTTCTAGCTTTTTATTAGCTGTCGAATTGTTTTGATTTCTTTTATGTGTTGATTGTGGGAAACTGAAATCAGTGGCCAGGTCGACACTCAGTTGCAGATAACGGGTTCCATACTGCAGCCAAACATATCAGGGAATATTAAATTGAGCCATGGGGAGGCATATTTACCGCATGATAAGGGTAGTGGAGCTGCAGCTTTCAATAGGCTGGCATCAAATCAGTCCAGGCTTCTAGGTGCTGGCGTCAACAAAGCAGTTGCTTCTAGATACGTCTCACGGTTTTTCAGTTCTGAACCTGCTTCTTCGAGGACCAAACTCCCACAACCCTTGGGTAGTATATGCTATTCAATGCTTTCAATTTTGATTCCTTTTCTTTTTCTCTAGCAGTCAACAAATACAATAGAAATCAAGACTACTTTTATATGGATCTATATTTTGAAAATTTCAGTAGATATTCATATCATTGAAATATTTCTTTTCCAATAACTGGATAAGAATTTAGACTTACATGCTATTCAATATCCATTACCTGTGTGTTTATCAAGCCCGAGTTAAACACATACAAGTCACCAAATTAGAAAAGAAAATTGGGGCCTTTTACGTCTGTTAGGCTTCTAAACCTTTGATTTAATATTTAAATGCTTTTGAACTTGAACTTATGTTTAGCTTTTGTTCTTGTTTTCTGCACAAATTAGGTGGTATTGACAGGATGAAGCTTCTTATTATTTATTAAAAAGAACAATAAATAATGTCAATCTCCTAAAATGAATAATGAGGATTTACCCTAGTTTCATGAACATGCAGAATTCAATCAATCAGTGTATAATCAATTTGTCTCTATTATTTGTTTCTGATCACCCAAGTGAAATGCTTGTTATTTCTTTTTTCTAGTTAAATCAACTGAAGTTGAGCAGGAGATGGAGCAAGTGAACATTAAACCAAGTGTTGATGTACGCCTTAGTGATTTGAAGCTTGTTTTAGGACCAGAATTGCGGATAGTTTATCCGTTGATTCTTAACTTTTCTGTTAGTGGGGAGCTCGAGTTGAATGGCTTGGCTCATCCAAAGTGGATAAAACCAAAGGGCATTTTAACATTTGAGAATGGTGATGTGAATCTTGTTGCAACTCAAGTGAGCCCTATGCATTTCATGTTTAATTTCCTTGGTGCTTTTCAAATTGTTTCTGGTGGGATTTCTTTATTGCATTTGATATGCTGACTTTGACTTCTCCAAATCAGGTTAGGCTTAAGCGGGAACATTTAAACATAGCAAAATTTGAACCGGAGCATGGTCTAGATCCACTGCTAGACTTAGCTTTGGTTGGATCAGAATGGCAATTCAGGATTCAAAGTCGAGCCAGCAATTGGCAGGACAAGTTGGTGGTGACCTCAACACGATCTGTAGAGCAGGATGTTCTCTCACCCACTGAGGTAATAGAATAATTAATAAAAAGATACTTAGATGGTGTGCCAATTTAATATTTCCTCTAGGTCCCCTGAAATTATCTATCCTGTCTAACATGAGCTGTGAGCACTTTTCCCACTACCTTCTTGCAAAGTGGCAAGGTTAGAATGACACAAATTCGGTCCTTAGAAACTTTGAACCTAGGAAAGTAGATCGTAACTCTTGTACTAGCAATGCATCCTATGACGTTCTTAAATGAATTGGTCATGATAAAGGATTTCTGGTTTTGGTTTTATAGCTGTGAATAAGCTGTGTTAAGCAAGGATAAAATCAAACCATTCCAAGTGAAATTTCTTCCCTATGCTGTGAAAATTTGCTCTAGACAGAATGGCAAAGTTGAATCTATCAGCTAGTTTGTTTTTTGTAATTTCGTTCATATACAATTCATGTCTCTGATCTTCCTGCCGCATGTGATACAATGTAATTATCCAATGTTGCAAGGCATTTATAAGTTTTGCTTGGATATCTGGATAACTTTTGCCCTTCGTTCAAATGTGGTTTATCATCTTCAGTTGCCAAATTCAGATGAAAATTCTGATCTCATGGGTTACAGTGATTTGTTTTGAATTTTCCCCTCTTGCACAGGCTGCTAGAGTGTTGAGAGTCAATTGGCCGAGTCCATATTGGAAGGCGATGGCCAACTTGCATTTAAAAAGCTTGCAACCGCAACACTTGAAACCTGATGCCAAGAATAGAAGGGAAAGGAGAGTTTGGTCAGGCCAGGTGGAGGCTTGTGTATGCCCCACAAATCCCCGGTTTGCTGTCCGTTGATCCAACAGCTGATCCTCTTAAATCTTTGGCCAGTAATATATCCTTTGGAACAGAAGTTGAAGTTCAGCTTGGAAAACGTCTGCAGGTAAATCTAAATTCTATCCGGTTTTTGTTTTGTAATTAATATTCCATTTCATATAAGGAGCTCTACCATCCTATAAGTGAAGAACAAAAAGGTGGGGAACGAAAAACCAACATTGTGAAACTGTTTTAGGTGCTTTGGTTGTGCACTAATAATTTGGACGTGGCTAAAAAGTTCTTACACAAGCTTTAGTCGGTGTTGAATTTTGGTCTCACCTGGTGCTTTCATCCCTCTCTTAGGCCTCTATGGTTAGGCAGCTGAAAGACTCGAGATGGCTATGCAATGGACCTTGATATACAAGCTCACAAGTCGTCTGCGAGTTCTCCTACAATCTGCCCCTTCCAAACGCCTTCTTTTTGAGTATTCTGCTACCTCGCAAGACTAACTTGCTATCAAGCTTTGTTTTTTTAGGCCAAACCTACCTGCCTGGGCTTTCCGCATGTAAAAGTTCCATGGTGGTGCCGTCTTTCATCTAAAACAAAGGGTAATAGGTTTAGGGAAGGGGGAATAGTTTTTGAAAATTCAAAGGTAGGTTTAATTACATTTTCTTATTCTTTGCTCGAAATGAATGAGCTTGTTTATATTTGCAGCACCTTCAACCTTTGTACAGATATAAAATTCAAGAGTGATGTAGTTCATGTTTTCGAGGGTCAAAAGAAACGGTTAGCGTTTTTTAAATCCTTTCTGGAATTTGTCAACCTTGAACCTCTTCAGCTCTTATATTCAATGGAAGTTTGCAGGACTGTAAATATTAAATTTCAAAATGTGGTCCGCAATAAGAGAAAAAAGGGGGGAAAAGAAGAGGATAATCAATGATAACAGAGTGTTGAAACCCTTTAAATTTTACACTTGTTATCAACATCAATGGAAACAAAAAAAAGAAAAAGAAAAAAGGGGTTGTCACCAAAATTTACATGGATCCTTGTATGAACATAATTATCAGTGGGAGGAGGAAGGCGAAATGATGCAACAGTCTGTTCCAGAAAGGGACCCATCTGTATCATGCAAAATTCACTTGGCAAGTTTTGGATGAATGATACATATACATACATGCACATAAAGACTTTATCTTGACCATCTGATACATTCATTCTCCTCATTATTATGTCGTTTTATTAGAAATAGTTTACTGGTGTTCATTTGTTATTGTTGATAGAGATAGAGAAAGAGGATGACCTCAGTCCACTCCTTGCTAAGAGTTGAAGCATTTAGAGAGTATAGATAACCTGCAATAGGCATTTGCACGTTGAATGACAACGGAAGATGATATGAAGAAGCATGTGAATAAAAACATAAGCCGGATATGTCATGAAGTACTCAGAAGAGACCATCTCAAGTCTCATGCATAGACTATGGCATCTTTGTATACATTCACCTTCCCCTTCACCATGTTGGACATATTGGCAGATGAGTTATGTTCCTCAAATTTTGGATTAAGTGGTTATTTTCTTTCTAAGAACATAGGGCATCATGGCTCTACCAAGGAAGTTTCGAATTTGATTTTGGAACTAATGAGAAATTAGAAAACAAAATGCACCATTGGAAAATGAGGAACAAAGAGAGATTCTATGATCCTACCTTCTCATTCAGCGGTTGAAGCAACATAATGTCGGCATAGGTTTGCTTCTTGAGCCTGCAAATATCCACGAGATGCATCAACATTCCGAAAAAAAAGAAGCTTGGCACATCTTTGCATTGATTGCAACTGTTGAAAGGGAGCACTTGCCGATTTTGTTGGTGATTTGCGATCAAGGTACTCATAGTACCAATATCGCTCACCGTCAATCTGAGATTTAGGTGGCGTTTAATTCGCTAGAATGTTTAAAAGAAAATTAGAATCTGTGAAGGAATTGAAATCTGTAAGAATTGTAATCCAATTCTATATTCCAAAAGATATAAGGTAAAAAAATATACCAAAAAAAATATGAATTAGAAACTCGACCCGACACGACTCAAAATAATAAAAAAATTATTTTTATTCAATAAAACATTAACTTAATTGAAAAAAATTATATAGAGAGGGGTATTATTGTAATTATTCCTAAATATATAAGGTAAAATTATATATTTTTTTCGGGTTGGTCTGGTTTTTTTCACCCTAAACTTGAACTCGACCCGACCCGAATATCACACTTAAAAAAACCCGACCCGACTCGACCCGAATATCACACTTAAAAAACCTGACCCGAACAAAATAAAGTTTCATCCGATCCGACCCGAAATAATAAAAAAATATTTTTATTTAATAAAAACAGTGACTTAATCTGACCCGACCCGAATTATGTATATTTTCGGGTCGGTCTGGTTTTTTTCACCCTAAACCCGAACCTGACCCGACCCGAATATCACACTTAAAAAAACCCGACCCGACCCGAACAAAATAAAGTTTCATCCGACCCGACCCGAAATAATAAAAATTTATTTTTATTTAATAAAAACAATGACTTAATCCGACCCAGCCTGAATTATATATATATATTCGGGTCGGTCCGGGTTTTTTCACCCTAAACCCGAACCCGACCCGACCCGAATATATGAATTAGAAATCCGACCCGACCCGAACCGAAATAATAAAAAAATATTTTTATTCAATATATAAATAAGTTACCAAAGGATTGATGAGGGTAGTATGGTCAAATTTCAATTCCCTCCAACAAGGGAATTGAATTCCATCAATTTTTAGATGTAATTCACTTTCCCTCATTTGATGGAATTGAATTCCATCAGGGATTCCAATTCCCTTGAAAAACTTGAACCAAACATGGGAAAGTGATGGAATTATATTCTAATTCCCACCAATTCCAAGGGATTCCATCCAACCAAACGTCACCTTAGAAAAAAGAAATATATAAGACACTTTGATCCAAAGCCTTTATATATATATATATATATATATATCACTTCAAATAAATATAAACCATGAAAAATGGAAATGAAAAAACTGAAGAAAGGTCTTTAAAGCTTACTTCTCTGGCATGTGCATCAGGAACAGAACCCTCACTCACCCGCTGGCTCCAGGTGACACGCTTCAAACAATGAAGAATGTAGAGGGGTTAAGTTTTCATAAATTGAATCCAAGATCCTTTGCATAGAGATTTATTTATTTACTCATTCATTTAAATGTCAAAAAAGTAGAGATTGTGTATACTTTCAGAACATGTGTAAATAAATTGATTGCATGGTTCAGACTCCATAAGCAGTTTTTAGTTTTAACATTGATAGATAAAGAGTTGGTATGCTCTTCCTCGAGTGAAACTGAAAGTGATATGAAAACCAACCATTTAAAAATTTTCTTGGATGGAAGCTGAGCGTTGCGACAGTTTGCCACACCACCACCAACCATTTAAAAAACGTGGAGTCAACATTATATGGTAGAGTGTTGCGACAGTTTGCGTCACGTCAGCAGATTTTTAAGGATATCGTTGAAATGGATACACACCATAGAATCGATATGCTTGGGAAACATTAGGAAGATTGACTGACGAGGTACTAGGGGCGTCAACGAGTCGAGTCGAGCTCGACTCGACTCAAAAACTCTAAAACAGAGCTCGACTCGACTCGAAAACTCGCGAGCTTAAAATTTTCAAGCTCGACTCGAAATCCTGAACTGAAGCTCGTGAGCAACTCGAAAAGGCTCGAAATGAAGGGGGGAATCTTAAACTTAACTTGATTGAAGCCTCAAACTCTAACATGAACCTTAAATACATGAAAATCTCACGACATTTTAAAAAAAAATCAATACATAAATGTTAATATTATTAATAATTTATTTTTTAAAAAATAAAATCTTAATATATTCTATTTTCGAGCTGCTCACGAGTTTTTTGAGTCGAATATCAAGTAGCTCGCTTCGGCTCGTTAAGAACTCGAGTCGAGCTAGAACTAGAGTCGAGTCTATTCGATCCGAGTATTTATCAAACCTTGATCGAGTCGATCTCGAATAGCTCGCGATCTGTCTCGTCTCATTTACAGCCCTACGAGGTACACTGCCTACATCGAGCATTGGAATCAGTATCACCTATCGCTCCCCCCGTGTTATGAGATACACAGTTGGACCTTGATTTTAACCATTCTTCGTATCTCATAAATTACGAAACAAATGGAATATTATATCTCACGACAACAGAATAGATGGAAGAATGGGAACAACATCATATGCCAGATTTCTCAAGTCCATGTCCAAGAAGAAATCATCGGCATCTTCATCTTCTTCAGCATTTGCCGCTAAAGATTACTACCATGCATCTCAGGCTAGTTTCGAATTTCATACCTCATATCATACTTCAAACATGATTCAGCCGACTTGGGTTGGACATTCATGGGATACAATCCAACACACATCTAAGGTACATGAAGATTCGGGTCAGGGTGAATGGGATCACTTCGTATATAGCCAACAAAGTCGCCAAGTCGAATCAGTAACGGCTATGATGGCGTCAAACACCATAAATTCATCCCCTTATTTCGAAGGTGCATCTAAGAGTGTGTTGAGTACACCTCAATTTTTTCAGCAACCAACCCAAGATGCAGCCGATGAAGATGACGACGATAACGATCAAGGCGGACGACCCCGACGTACTTGATGAGTCCCGCGACATTATCATTCGACAACTCCTCGACACGACAAAAACTAAGGAAATATAAATAAATTTTATTATATTGTAAATAATTTTTTACTTTGTAAATAATTTTATCTTAATAAAAAATAAAATTTTTTCTTAATTAATTTATTTTTTAAATTTTTAGTCCGTATATGACCTTTGAATTTGATTGTTGACAAACGGCTAGAAACATCTAGTTTTTTAAATTCAAAGGACTGGTCATCTCGAGGTGTCGGGTCCCCCTTTTAATTTTATAAATTAAATTTTTAAACAAAAAAAATTCTTTAACGCCGTGACGAGTCCCAATAAAATCAATAAAAATAATGGTTCACTTGAGACCCACACATATGGGCCCATAAATTCAAAAGGGCTGGTTACCTCAAAGTGACGAGTTCGATATAAACTATAGAGAAATGACATAGTTTCACAAATAATTTTCATATTGACTCAATACCCTAAATAATTAACCCGTCTAAGATTTTTGGAAAAAAAAAAAAAAGGTGATCTATATATATTTTCCCTGAAGGCCCGTTTGAAATTTAAGCCTAACATTTATAGACGGGTGGACTGACTCGTTTCAAGAATATGACCGAATAAGGATTCGTTATCCGTAATCGGATTGATGTTAAGTCGGTTTCCAAACAAGACGCGGACGTCACTGCCTTCAAGTGGCCTCCTTGTTAAAAAGGCATTTTATTATTGCCTTCCATTTTAATCGCAGATCTCTTCAATCATTTTTTATTTTTATTTTTATTTTTAATAATTTCCAGACGATCTTCAAACGCTCCGAACATTCAGGTAATTTCTCTTTCAGTTTTCCTTCTTGTTCTCCGATCACATCAATAGAGAGTCTTTTGTTTCTCTAGCAGTATTTTTAATCGATTTTTTTGGCTTTATTTCTCTTTCAAAATTTCTGCCTGGTCTTTGGTTTTTGATGTTTTAACTTTTCGTTCTGCTTGATCTTCGCGACGTTTTAAATTCGAGATCGTAAGAGAAGAGCTAGAAGCTTAAGGGAATTTTGGTTACTTAGATTGCTTTCTTGATCAATTTTTGAATGTTCTATATAGTTGTCTGACGACTATATATATTGTTTAATCCTAAGAGTTTGATCAAGATACCTTTTCTGGATTTTACATCACATAAAAGTTTGGTAAAAAATTTATATGTTCGAGCTGATTGATATATGTGGTGAGCCGAAGCTTGTTTATTGTAAAGGCTTTTTTTTGTTGTTAAAGTAATCTTTTTATTTTGAAGTGCAAAAGTCGTAAGGAATGCCTAACATTTGTGAATTGGAGCTTACTTTATATTAGTTATCTGAGAGATTTTACATTCTGTTTGTTTTTAAGCTATAGGTTGTTGCTACTTTATATCCAGGCCTTATAGTAGAGGTTACGCAAATTCGTTGTTTCTTACAGCATGAAAACAATCTCGCCTTCGCTTTTAATTCTTTGGAGTTTTCAGTAGTCATTTCCTTTAATTATTATGCTCCTTTGCTGGTAGGTTGAAGTCTTATTACACTTCCCTCTTTGTGGGTTATTCTTTTGGAAATGAATGATTTGCCTCGTACTCTAACAGGGTTTCTTTTGTGTGTGTTTTTCAGTGTTTTCCATGAAGACGATGAAGCCTGGAGTTTCTTCATTGAATCCCTATGCAGCATCATACATACCTCTTGCCAAAAGGGTGGCCAATGATAATGTTGTAGATGCTCGGTTTTATCCGAGTCTAGGTCGGGACAGGCCCCATTCAAGCCCAATGGACAACATATATATGCACAAGAAGATAGCAGTTTGAGGGTCGGTTTTTAGCAGTTTTAGTTTTTAAGAAATAACCACCCATCATCAGTTTTAATGGGATTTAAAAAGAGAGAGGGATATCAACTAGGGGAGGAGATAAAAAATTTACATAGGGAGAGAACTAAAAAAAAAAGGGAATTTCGGTAGACTTTCTGGTTCAACATTGTTGGAAGCAATAAAAAGAAAGCAATTTTTTTTTAAATTTCACGGTTTCATTCGAAGGAAAGCATCAATCATTC